ATCATGTGCCAGACATTTGCCGCAATTGGCTCTAAATAGACGTAAACTAGTGAAAATATTAGAATAGAAAACACCTTAGGGCTGTACCAGACAAAGCTTGGGAATGGGAACTGATTTAATTTATGAAAATCCAACTCAGCGCAGCGCTCATAAATAGAGACTAGTTAGGTTTGTTGCTAAATAAAGCATTTCATATTCCAGCGCGAAATTCAACTACAGTAACAACAATGACATAAGCCTGTAACTTGTGCAAAGTTCTAAAGGAGGCATTTAAGAATAATACTGGGAATTGACATTTTTGTGTAACGCGGCTAATAAATGAGTAGCTCGGAGGAGGTGCGGTTAAGTAATAATTCCAAAAATTGTGCTATAACATTCATTTATCGTGGCAATTGAATGGCTTTACTATCATTCACTCCACATCAGAAAGAAATTTTAACTGCAGATGTTTAACATGCAACTCTGCTCTCAATATTTGTTTACGTAGAGCTTCTGTTATATATTCATTAAAAACTGGTCGAAGTAACATGTGAACAACGCAGAATAATTGGAGTTTATGCTAATGGAAGGTGTTTTAATTCACGAATATGTGAGAGCAACGTTTGATAAAATGTATTCTGAGCAGATCGACATCCGCAAGAATATTGAGCGCTGAATAAAGAAGAAGTTTAGTTTACGCTAAGCAAAGGCGAAAAAGAGTTGCCGAACAGCTTCTTAGACTTTATTACAGATTTTGCAGTCTGTAACATAGCCATAACAGGAGCCAAAAAGAATCGGAAGATATTCTGCCACTGAAGCATGATTAGAATATCTAGGAATTAAGTTACTACTTAGTTATAAACAACGAGGTAAAAGTCACCTTGCCTTAGTAAAAATCAAACCATTGAACGGTGCGCTTTCGCTTGAGGACAGCATGGCAGCAGCATATCATTACAGAATTTCCTGACTCACCCATTAAGCACTGTTTCGTTAAGTTTCGTGTTGCTTTAGTGAAACTAGTTCGCCGACATTGAAACTAGGCTGTTAATGGGTAGGGCTAACGAGCAAAATCATAGAATGCATCGAAAAATTGCGCCTCTCTAACGACTTACATTTCTGATTGATTCAGTTGCCTTTGAGGCTCTAAGGAGATGTATACGGAAAATATTAGAAAATGCAAATGTAGAATATGGACGCCTTCCATACGCATTCGATTGCAGTGGTGCAACATGCCAAGAAAGGCAGTCATACAAGTTGTTTGTTTTAGAGAAAAACAACATAGTAAATGTTTATTTTCAAGTTGACAGGGACTGTAAAATCTAGAGCAAGTAGTTTAGATTTGGAAGTAGAAAAGTAGAATCGGAAGCAGACAGACGATGAAATTAAAATTCGTACCTAATGCTTAAAATTGCTGACGCAGCCTAATCTTATTTTCTCTCCTATAAAAGAGCATACGGCATTGGTGACTTTTTTTAGTAACTTTTGATGGAAGACAGAGCAGGCAAACAAATTCCAGAGAGTCTTGCATTGTCACGAATGTCTTACCAATTGTTTGCAAAAATTCCAGATTTTAAAACAGCATGGAGCCTATTTTCAAACATCAAAACATGAAAAAGACTTAAAGCAACAGTTTTAATTTGGAAATACAGAAGAGCCTCTAACGGTTATGTGTGCATAGGAGTGTGAGACTACAGTACTCCATGGTAAAATGCATAATGGTTAGAAAAAAATATTTTTATAAAAATTTCAACGGGAAAAGAGATGAGATCGTTTGGAGGAGAATGCAAACTTGAAAACCAATATGAACTAAAACTTAAGCGATGTCATAACATAGCCACTACGTCTCAAAAGAACTAATTTTTGAATTTTTAGAAAGTCGGGTCAGCTTTCGCTATCTCAGATGTTTCCGAAAGAGGAGATGGAGGAGTCTTTGACAAAGGAATTAATGTTGCATTGAGATAACGTTTTGCGAATATTCCTATCATAGATGTCCATTTTGCCAACATGAAGAACCATACAGATGTAATCCAGAAGTTCTCACCTTGTAGGCCTTCAAAGATTTGATCTACATATTATAAGAAGCAGCAACTGTAAAACTTGACTAATTCAAAAAACTATGCTCATACCTTTTGTTGTAAGCGTTTGATGGTTAACACCAGCATATATGAGAGATGCTGTCAATCCGATTACTGCTATAACGAAGGTAACCCAACCTAAATAAGATTTCTCATAGAATCTGCTTCGAAATTATGTAGAGATGTCTTACAGTGCTAACTAATACAAATGGAACGTGCGTGTATTGATTACTTCCTTTAAAAAAAACTCATTTAACACCATTTTTATCAGCTGCATAATTCCGGCATATTCTTATTAGTACGTATAGGCGCTCTAGTATGTCGAGAAGAGTTAAAAAACTCAAGGAATTACAGCGGTTACATGGTTCAAAAAGAAAAAATAATTTTGTCTCAATATCTTTTTGATCAAATTATGGGATAACTTACACATAAAAAGGAAAAATTTACTTCTTTTTGAGTATTCATTACGAGTACCACGATCTATTTACTTTTCTTGGTAACTTTCATTCTTTTACCTCCAAACTATGGTAGTAGTAGAAATCTGACTTCTTCTTT